CCTCTTTGGGATCCAGGTCTCTTCAGTGAGACTGTTTGTAGATTCAGGGTGTTACTCAGAGAAARAAAGAAATGGAAGAAAGCTTTGGGGAGGAGGTAGCATTGAAGGGACTGTTTCAGTCAGGAGACAGGATTACAAAGCAAATTAAATCAATAATGTTTGTTCATGCTCAGAATCACAGATTCTGTTCCACTGATGTAGGTACCATGTTCCCCAGAGACTGAAGGGATTTTAAGAAGTTAGAGAAGCACTTAGACAGTTGTTTTTGCTTTGAGATGGGAAGGACATCACCCCATCCAGAAACYTCTAAAGTTTCTGTTATAATCCCTTGATGAAAGTGGAATTAGGGCAGTTCATACTGACAGCTGTTAATCATGTCTTCAAGGCTTTAGGGTGCAAAGAGCTTATAAAAAAGAAACCCAAAATCTACCATCACCTTGTGTAGTGGTAGAATGAAGAAACAAAAAAAAGGTTGATTTTTATTAGCACATTCTAGCATTATTATATTTATGAATCTTTKCAAGAGCAGTGATGAAGGAAAAGCRTCAGACAAGCTTTARCATGMGCTTGGTAGGCAGCAAATCTGCTCAGCTCTRGAGGTGGAGGTGAGAGGCATTTCTCTCCAGGATCTCCGTCTGAATAGCTCTGTTTTACTGCTGGCAGTCTCAATTGTGACAGCTGGATTTTGGAGAAGGAGCTGTTGCAGAAGGCWAAGAGAAGTATGAACTGCCTAGGTAATGCTAAAGTAGAAGACAAAATTGATAGCTGTATTTTTTCCTTTCCTTTCCTGACAATGAGAATAAGGCTTGTGGGCAGTGAAGGCTGGATTAATTGTGCAAGTTTACAGGTTCTTTAAAAATAAAGTTACCAACAGCAAGACCTAAAAGGGAGGTGCATCATTATTATTAGAAAAATAAATCACTTTCATTATTTCTTTTGAAAGCATAAATTACAACAAACTATTCAATATGAATTGTTCAGTTAATGGCTTTCCATGCCTCATTTATGACACACTCTTGTATAAAACTGTGGAAATTATTGAAGTGCACAGTGCTGCAGGGACACATCATTTTCTTTTAATGAGTATTCTCAGCCCTAGTTGATGAGGTTTTGTTCTCTAAGAAACACAGAATTAGCGTATAACAATGTTTAAATTATTGGGCTTTGAAATGATGTACTCAGTTCGTGGTTAGATTGTAGATAAAACTATTGCTGAAATGCATCCACCTTAAAAGTCTGTTTCTTAGGGAATACAAAGTGGGAAGAATTCTCCATGAAAGCTGGAACAAACATATTCTTGTATAAATGCACACTTTGAGTTCTTTTAGTGTTTATTAGGAGAATATCCATCCTGGTCATGTACCTAAGGCAATTAATAAGGCAATCCTCACACAATTTTGTTAATCCAAAGGAATTCTATACTAATGCAGAACTAATTAATGCTCATTAATGCTCACTAATTGACTCTCRTCAATGCACTTAATATTAGCGTTACATGTGCCACCTCTGTCAGGGTGGAACTTTGAAGTGGCCCCAGTCAGGAGTGTATTGGAGCTTTAATGTCAGAGGCCTGGGTGTGATGAACTGTGGCACTGGCTCCTTGCTGCCCCACAGCAGCTGCTCCTTTGTAGTCACCCATCTAAAGAGGAACCCCCAGAAGGAGTAATTTACATCCCAAATTGATGGTGAGCAAGTAGAATAGGAGCTCTGTGCCATGTGGGATTTTCGCAGTTGTACATGCTGTGCTTCGGCTTACAAAAAAATTCTTGGCAAAGTTCTAGTAGCAAAATGTTAATTTCTTGGGGGTTCATTAAAAGAACATTAATCATCAACTCTGATTATGTTCACCTTAATTTATTCTGAAACTTTATGACTGAAACTAATCAGTTTCTATAATTAGGTAGAATAATGGATTTTGGCCTTTTTATTTTATAATTAAAAAATGCTAGATTTTTTTAGGAATTTCACAAACATCAGCTTTTAGGTATGGATCATATAGTCAAACCTATACCTGTTAGAGCTTCATGTATATGTTTCTGTGTTGAAAAACATTTGCAATACTTCAGACAAGCAAATTTATTATTTGTTTCCTATATCGATGGACTTGAAAAACCTGGAAAAAAACTCACATTTCGCCTTTCTGCTGAGCTGAATCTTGATTAAAAACAACTCCCCCCCCCCAATAAATCTCAGGATTTCAGATAAAGGCTGCACTTCAGGTGACTGAGTGGATGTTATTCATGCTCCCTGGAAGTTGGCAGTGTGTCATTATTAATTATGTGATAGTCATATTTCTGTGTCAAAAATGGAAATTGTTCATTTCTAGCAGAACAAAGAGAAGAGGCAGCTTCTCATGTCTTAGTAGATTTACTTTCTGCAGTAGTTATGATGGGTAACATTAGTAGAATGTTACCCATCCCCAGTAATGTGTCACACTGGCTCAGGAAGTCCCTGACCAACAAATCACTGGCATCTTTGCAGGAAAACAGCTGGGTGCTTGCCCTAGGCTTGAGTTCTTCTTCGGTTTTTATTTCTCAGCTACTGTGTGAGACAAGTTATCACTTGCTGGGTGTGCCTTTGATGTGACCAGGTAAAACCATTGTTATACTCAGCATTTACTAGTTAGGTTTGCTTTTAGGAAGCCCAGGCCCCTGAGACCTGTGCAAAACTGGTGCAAAAAGACCATTCCCCTCAAGAGAGGAGCATCAGGCTACAGGATATGAGTTAAGCTGTATTTTTTCACCTGTTCAGGAGACCATTTTTGCTAGAYCAGCWGGGAACTGAATACAGCTGCTTGTAGGTGACACTGTACATGATCATGTAATTAATTACAGACACCATCTTGGAGTACATTCATTGCTAGTGAAGCAATATCCCCAATTCATTACTGTTCCATTGCCACTGGAATTGTGGCTTTATTTCTCAGGTCATAGTGTTGCCCTTGCACTTGCRKTTTTTTACCCTTCARTGTTAYGGTATTTGCACATGTTTTTTTACCCTTCAGTGTTACAGTGTTTGCTCAATTTCTTTTCTCATGTCCAGTCTGAGGAGTGGAAATAATAAAAGATAAAACATGGCCTTGAGAGAGAAGGAGAGAAATTGAGGGCCTYTGAGCAGAGCAAGCCTAGTAYACAGCTTCTGAGGCTGGCATTTCCATTTGTTGTGCATTGCCAAAGGAAGTGTGATTTGCAATGTATGTCTGAAAACGGGGTATTGTGGAGGGTTTTCTGTTGGTGGTAGCTCTCAGATCCCTTGAGAATAGTTTGTACTGCAAATTTTCATCACTTTTTAGTGGAAGCAGTCATTTGCTTTCTTGTATACATGGTGTTGGTTGTATTTTCTATACTGTCTTGAGACACRTGCAGAATTAGTCATTAATCTTTCTGTATACCACCTTCTCCAGGCAGGGCCTCCAGTCAGATGCTTGGGCTTGCTTTGCTAATGGCTGTTCCAACCCTGTGCCTTGCTCTACAAGCATGATCCACTGATGGATGATGAGAATTGTTGCTCGTAGCTAGATTTATTTTAAAAATTGTCTGGGGTTTTTTATTGCTAGAGGTTATATTCTCTCTCGCTTTGTGCTTTGCAAGCATAATGACTTTCCCCAGCCTTTTCTTAGACCTACCAGGGTATGGTGGTGTCACTTAACTGGGAGACACAGATTGATGCCAGTGGCTACTTCTATTTCTGGTGTATGGATCTTATTGCAAAGGGAAATGACACATGAAAGTGAACCCCGAAGAAGACATATTTGAACCCATAGTCTTATTTTTTCTTGCTAACTTAGCTAGAAGGCTGGGGCATTATTAGGGATATTGTTTTGTTTTATCCACAGAATGAAAGCATTTACTGTTTCTGTGCAATCTTAGTCAGATGTACACAAACTGACAAGAGTTTGAGAGCGAGTCCTTGTTTGGGTTAGCCTAACCCAGGTTTTTTTCATTATGAGGTTTTTTAGAGMAGGTACCTACCTGCCATCTAGATTTCTTGAAGACATCCATATTGTTAAGAATAAAAAGATTCAAGCTGATATAGTCCATTAAAAAAATTGTATCCACTTAATATTTTTCAGAAATCTGTGTTTTAACAGTCTGGGATTGGGGTGAGCATGCATTCCCTGCTGCTTTGGGTCCTGGGATGTCTCCATCTTGCAGAGCACTGGAGTGGCCTGCTGGGTTACAGAGAGCTTGACATTTCAGATGCCTGGGAAGCGCTTGTGAGAGCATGAGGAGTCAGTGAGGTGCTGATTCTGTGACTCTGCTTCTGCCAGAATCCTATGGCATGTGGGTCTGGAACTGGGAGTCTGATTCATTATGGAGGAAAATGAGAAATGTTGGTGTGTATGTGAATATTACCCCACGTGTAATGGGGTGTAATCTGCCTCTTTAAGCAGATACATCAAAATTGTTTTGTCTCTTGATATAAGAAGATACTTTTTCATGTTGCCTGGTCTAAACTCACTGGTGTCCAACACTGGGAATGCTCATGGTGTACTGTTCTCCATAAATTAGAAATACATGGAGCTTTTGTAGTACATGGGCATTTTGAGTAGCTCCATCAGAGCCAGGACCTTGTTCACACACCATAAACACTTGAAGGCAGTGGGTTCAAGTGCAGAACAGGAAGGACAGAGTAAGAACAACTGAAATGACCTTTTGGGAGGGTGGTATTTGCTCCTTATAGCCAGAATGCCAAAACATTAAACCTCAAAAGCAGCTGTGGAGTGATTCATGTAAGTTCTTTTTGCAGCCCAAAAGTCCCTGTGTTCCACAGGGACTCCGGCAYGTTTGTTTGCAGTGGATAATTAGCAGAATGTATTTTCACATTCTGTGTTAGGAAATTCCAGCACTGTGGAAGGTGACCACAGATTTGAGAGCCTGTTTAGTGAAGAAATATGGAACTGAAGTATGGAGGTTTAAGACGAGTCTTAAAAAGACAATTCTGTTTTGAAGAGGAAATAATTYATGCAAAATATGTTACAAAATCTAAGTCCTAAATAAATAAGCAGTACAATGTATTGTGTCTTGACACTTTTGTTTCCACTTAACAGGTACTGAATGCAGATTAGATACCAATTTTTGAAGCTATTTTTCATTCTATTCACTTTGCTTTGTACAAACAATTACCCTGTAATGTTAAATTYCAGTCTTTTGCTTTGAAGCTACATGAAAATATGGTGGGATAAACATCCAGAAAAATAGATTTGTGGTTATATAATTTCTCTTTATTATAAAAAAGTTGCTTCACCATATGAAACTCTTTTTTCCTATATTTTGGAAGGCTCATGTTCCCATTTTGTTTTTCACCAAGTCAGCATGATATAATGTCTTTCTAGTTTCTGTAATCTTTTAGGATTACAACATGAGGGTTGTGGTATAAAAAGTTACTCTCACACAGTATTGAGAAGTCTTGAAGTCTTTAAAACCAAAGTATGGGATATAAGAATGCTTCAATCCAGATATTAAATGACAGACAAATAAGCAATGTAGTAATTGTTAAAGACTTAATGCTACAATAATTTTCTTTTTTATTTAAAAGTTTTGGTTCTTTTTCTTTGTTTGCTTTCTTATAAAGGACTATAACTTTTACCATTTGTTCCAAATGACTACATTTTTCAGCATATAGATGCTTCTTTTGAGTAGCATTTTGCATTCTAGGAGTAGTATAAGGGCTTGTTTCTGTTGTCACTTCTGTCAGCCTGTGACARAAGTAGATTTTGGACCCCTTTGTCTTTAAGCAGAAATATTAATGCCTGATTTAGCAGACTCTCACAGCAGATTTTGTAGCTGCCTATTGAAGTCTCCTATCTGTATTGTCTTGCAGAACAGTGAGACTTAATAAAATATCACCAGCCTTGGCTTACCATTGCATAAACAAGCTTTGTTAAAAATCAGGCTGTATTTCAAGGCAACATGTAAGTTTGAGGAGAATTAATTTTTTTTTTAAGTTTTCATTTCTAGGAAAACTTGGCTMTATATTTCAAGAATTTCTTAGAAGTTTGAATAGTTAAACCCTCCCTCTGGAAGCAGTAGATAAAATTCTACACGTTAAACATGGTAAAAATGGTGCATATTCTGCAAAGGACAGAATTTTAGATTAAAGTTTTCTGGGCACAAAAGCAGTAACAAAATGATCCCTACAAAACAGAGTAACTTAATAACACAAGAAGTAACTTTTGTTAATTTGAAGCTTTAGAAACTGAAGCTTGTAAAGTAAGATGTAATTAAATTATGGTACTGTACATACCAGTTGTTCTTGGTAATTGAAACTTTACAATATGAAAAATACATTACATCTGTACAGTTTATACAGGTAGGTAGGATGAGTTTTGAAAAAGATTCGCTTCAAGGGTCATACTCTGAAGTCAAAAAATACTGCACAACCGAACTAATTACAAATTGTAGACTCGAAACAATTAATCTTTATGATTTGCTTTTAATTTGAACAGGGATCCTAGAATCCAGAGAATTGGGTCTCCTCACCGGTGTCCATAATGTTACATAGCATTTGGTTGCAGCCTCTGCKAGAGGCCAGCCCCACCAACACCCCCTCAAGCCAGCTGCTGGCTGTGCTCCTTGATCCGTGCTGCCGTGGTGATTGTGCTCAGGTCCAGCTCGGGCTCCAGCTGGGCATCCACTGCRTCCTCCTGGCTGCTGGAGTCGTAGGGCTTGTGAGCCAGCAGGTCGTGGTGCACCCCGCAGTAGCTCAGCGTGGGCTGGTCGTAGGCCAGAAACGTTGACACGTTCATGGACAGCGGGATCTAGGGCAAAAGCAAAGGTGAAAAGCAGCCCCTCACCAAAAGGCACTTGCCTCAGCTGGATGTTGCAAAACACAGACTGTCTGCTCCCTCCATCCCTATATCCACTTCTCTCCACCCAAACCCTGGTCTTCACCAGGATGTTTTCAACCTTTCAATTTTCACCTTTAAACTTGAGGCCCAGGGCTATGTCTGTGCTTCAAAGTGTTTGTGAAGACTAAGGTGAGATTGAACTTAAATTATCTTTAGAATGTAATTAGCCTCAGGTATAATCACTCTGTCAGGGAATATCCCGTATGAAATACAAATGCCTTTTCAAGTGTGAGTGGTTTGGATATGTCAGTGGGTGTGATGCCTTTGGTCTGCTCGGAAACACAGATGAGAGGGTTCCTGCCATGCAAGTGTTTGGGGAAAGGCACCTCAGTTCTCATGCCATTGTAACTAAGCTAGCATCCTTGTCTGTATTTCCTCCTTTACAGCTTTCCTTGCTCTTTTTCTTCCTAGTGGGGTGTAACTCAATAAAAGTTCTAGGTATGAAGAACCTCCTGTTCTTTGAACTTTAAAAAAAAATTCAAACAAGTAATATCACAGCATTTGTAATGTTAGTTCTCATCTCTGACAGCAATTCTGGAGTAAAACCCACTGCACTGTTTAATTACTAGTGATTTATGAGCTTCATATTGTTTGGAGTTCAGGTTCAGATGAGCATCAAAAAGCCCCAGCTTATCTTAGATTTACAGTTCAGAAGCCTTAAAATTGCAGTTTCTATTCAAGGAAGCATCTGTTCTGCAAGCTGAATTTCATTGCATAGTATTACATTTCTACACAGTGAGGGGCAAGTTCCAGCAGCCCTCTGTCTTTTCAGTTGGGAAGTTTAAAACCTTAGATTCAATGTACATAGAAAGTGTAGCTGAAAGTTTGTACTTACAAAACTGAATGACAAACCAGAATCTTTTGAAGAAAATTCTGTTCAGTCCTGAAAAGAATGTAGTCCAGTGTTTGGAATGTTGATTTTTTTTTTTTTTTTTTTCTTTTCATTGTAACTGGCAATTGAAAAGTTATCACTGATGAAAAAGAGAGCTGATCTGTTTGTTTGTTTGTTTGTTTGTTTGTTTGTTTGTTTTAAATAGAGGTAGATAATTTGCTTCTGGTCTGCCTGCAGCAATTACAGGGATCTGCAGGAAATGGGTTATTTGCTCCAGCCTGCAGGAGTGTATTTGCTTCTAAACAGATGTGAACTGGCTGGGGAGGTGAATGCTCTTAGCTCCAGATGAATATCTCGACAGTCAGCAGAGGTGGGAAGGGTTCTCACAAAAGCCTACAGCRTTTATTAAGCTGGTGGTGTTGTGCCTGTGTTCTTATCTGATTGCTTGACCTTGGCTGGGCTTTCATGAAACACAGAATTGCATTTTTTTTTTCTGAATATATTATATTTAGAACCAGAGGCAATGTTTTCAGCCCAAAGATTTTGGTRTTTTGTTAAATATCGTGGACACGGGGTGTACAAACCTCTTGGGGGGATTACAAGACTCAGCTACAGAATCTTAAAAATAAAAATTTGAAAACTAAAGGTACAAAGGAACAGCCACAGATTTGGAGTGGCTTGAGAATGGAGTCACGGGAAATTCTGATAGGGCAATGGAATATTATCYCTGGAGTTGACAGAAATAAAGAGCTGAAAAAACAGATGATCATGAAAAGGAGAGATGAAAATMAGTAAACCACACTGAAACAGGAGAATAAAATGAGCTGAAGGATGGAAGTAATAGAAGTGATGTGTCACTCTGAAGTTGTACAGAATTACAGTGTAATGACAGCGTCATATTCACAGGCATTTGAATGTGGTATATCRGCATATGATCAACATATGAGAATTTCATCTATTTCATATACAAGTTTTCCTGTTGTCTTGAATTAAAAAAGGAGCAAGCCCTTGTTGTAATACATACCAGGGAACTATACAGCTTTTATGGATGTGAATCAAAATTAAATGCTTTATTTGTGACCATGGGAAGATTCCTGTTATATCAAGTGAACCTTTAAACAAACCTGATACTTCACCATCCATTAGTTTGTCTCTGTGAGGTTTTTTTTTTTATTTTATGGAGTCACAGGACAGGGCTATAAGAAGATTGTTTTGTACCTACATCTCCATCTCCTGCCTCTGCACCCCCTGCATGTAAGTTCTCTCTGTGATTTAGGCAGGTCTTGCATGTCACAAGTCCTTTCATTTCTCTCTAGAATGTCCTAGAGCTGTCTGATAGGCAGGTATGAAAAGAGAAGACCTATCTGATTATCATCTTGTCCCTTTTCTTTCACTGGCTGCTCCTTCAAGCACTTCTTTACTTAGAAGTGCTGTGGTATGAAACATGGGAGATAATGAAACTGTTGTCAAAGGAGCAGATAAATCTGTTACAGCCAATTTATGAAGGTCACGGATTTAGAGTTCATATCCTTCTGGCTCCTTTACCAAGAAGTAATTCAGCTGTGGGGGCAAAGTTACCAGAAGTTACTTTTTTTTGGTATTTGCATACACTGAGAGGAGGCCACGCTGTAAGGCAGTGAGTGCCTTGGATTGCGTTGCTGTCCCTTGAATGTGCTGGGAAATGGTGGCTGCAGAAATCACTAATCACTTTTAATGASCTTCATTTTTCTTCAAACTTCTCAATTCTTAGGTGGTTGTTCTTCTGTGTTTACATACTGCAACCTTACCAAGTCCAAATTCTAAAGGTCTGCTAAAGGGCAGTGTGAACTGGGAAGAACTTTGGCATGAAATGTCACAAGGACAGGTATCAGTTCAGCCAGTTTGCCTTGTCAGTGGCACACAGGAGTTGAATGCAAAGGGAAAGATCTTTCCAGATTTTTCCCTGCTTCTCTCAAACTCATTTTCTACTCAGTTCAGCTTCTAACTAAAAACCTAGTGAAACTGTAAGCTTTCAATTGAACAGCAAAATTGGTCTTTGCACAAATGTTAATGCCCTCTTGGTGAGGGAGAACTGTATTTCCATTCAAAGGGCACACCCRCCAGATGCTGTATGAAATTTCAACACTCAGGAACTCTTGCTTTTCTTCTGCTCCACATTAGTGAGATGTTTTGTGTGCTCTCCTGGCTTTGACAGTTTTTSTATTCCAATGTATTCATCTCTGGTTACCTTTGGGGTCACACCTTGCGAGAAATAATGCAACTGAATCCAAAGAGGTCTTTTGTGCCCAGCCTTCAYTGCTGTGTCAGACTAGCATTCTTGTCACAGAGAGACCAGAGTGGGGAAGCAAAGGGCAGCTGAGAAACCTGAAGTCCTTTAAATCTTTTAAACCGTTGCTTTGGTCTCAATGCGAGAGCCCATTGTGTCCATGGCAATATAAGAAACAAAATAACCTAAGTAGGTGCTGTTTCYAGACTTCAGTTGTTTTGGTGGCTGAATGCCCTAGGCTTCTATTGATACTAAAAAAGAAACATCTCTACTAAGTGCATGATTAGAAGAAGATTACTATTATAGATGGACTATATCTGTTCAGTGATCAGCACGAATTTTTAGTAATTTATGATTAATAAAACAAATAACATCATAAATAATATTAATAAAATGAATAACATTCCCTGGGAAAGAAGGATGGTGTTAAAAAGTAAAAATCACCTTGGAAAAACAAAGGCCAGAACTTCTGAAGCTTTACTTTGAGTGTTGGACACCTGAAGGGTAAACTGATGTTTTCTAAGGGTTGCAAGAGTAAACAGAACATTCAAGCGATGGGTTCCATGGGGAAACCAGGCATTTTTCTTTGAGTTATGTCAATGTAGGTTTTATACTTAAAAGTAGAAGGAATTGAAAAAAAAGTTCAAAAATTTGCATATACTAATTTTGACAGTCATCTTTTATGAATTTTTGAAATGCCAGGGTGATCAGCTGCTAACAGCTACTAMGGCCTTCCTTTTTAATTTAAAGTAGATGAAAAGTAAGAGGAGAAAGCAGCAACAAAAGGTTTTGTATTTCACTGATTCTGTTCATTTGGGTTCAGGCTAAGACATAATGAGCTCTGGTTTCCTWGTTGCTGGACGTTTTGTCTTGCATGTTGTTAATTTTCCTAAAATCTGAACAGGGTGATATTTACTTAAGATCTTTCCTTCCTGTGAAGAATGTGACATTTGTAAATGAGAACAACTTGTGTCTTGATTAGCTCTAATTGCTTGCTTGACTCGGAAAGCAGTATGTATTACATTTTTTCAGTTAGACACTTATGCTTGCTAATAATGTTAGAAAAATGAACAAGTTATAAATATTCTTCTGCCTGACAAAGTATAAATCTCCTCTGCTTTAATTTAAAATTTGTATCTGTGTGGATTCCTGTGGTTGTGTGGCTTTTTATTTGTTGGTCGGTTTGTTTGTTGTTTTGCTTTTTTTGTTTTGAACTTGAACAACCCAACGAAGAGTTTTGGATTTTTGTTTCTTTTTAATAATAGTCCTTCAAGTTCCAATGTAGTGAAGTGAGTTAAGAAGTAGGTATGAGAGTGGTGTGTGACAGTAAAAAGAAATCCTTTCAGCTGATGCACTGCTTGAAATATGCCTCTGAATATTTATTAGTGAAATGTACATTATCCTGAAGTAGCTCTAAAATGTTATTACAATTAGATTTGTATCTAACTAAGCACTAACCTTTTTAGGCTTCTCATTTGTTTTTAATTTGTATGCAAAACTCGGTGTTTATTAGATAGGCTCTGAAAGCATAATTATGGAGGTATAATTTAAAAACAACATCACTAAACTCTGTGGGACTAAAAGTAAATCAACCCAGACAAAGCTTTTACTTTAGATGCTGGATAAACGATGGACTCCAATCAAAGTATTGCCCAGAGAGCATTTGCTGCAAATAGAAAAAGGGACCTAACTTGGTCTTAGTAAATTTTGTTACAGCTTGGAAAACMTGACCTTCATACTGGATCTTAGTTATAATTCTCTATTTAGCAATCAATAGATTACCTTAAAATATGAGAGAATTGCATGAATAAA